GTTTTCATACTGTAATTATAATTTGCAGCCAACAAGAGAGAGACTAAATTGGAAATGGGTGATTTTAGTTCTTTAATTATCGCCTATTCTATCAAAGCAGGCATGCAGATGTATGATGGAGATTAAATTCCAAGTCTGTAATTTCCTCAAATCTGTTTCCCATCCCCCAAATGTATTGAACAACTTCTCCTACAATCCTTAGTCAGCAGATGCCTATTTTGATCCAATTCTACATGTTTTTTATTAGGTATCTTGGTCTATTTTTAAAAAGCTTGCTTGGAGTAAAATAGTGAAAAATCTTCCATCTGCTTTTCATCTCCCCAGGAATTAGGGGCTGCTTTTTCTCTGTTGCTTTTGAGTGGCTACAGTGACTTCGCTCAGATAGGAAAGAGGGTAGAATCCATTTGCCCTACATGAAGATGAGTCAAGAATGTTAATATACTTAGTGCAGAACACAGCAGTTGTACAAGAAGTCCTTGACTTAAAACGACCGCAACCAGGACCAGAATTTTGGTTTTAAGTCGAGGCATCCACATGATCAGACCCAATTTTATGAGTCCATGACAGTCATTAAGCAAATCACTCAGTTGTGAGTTAGAATCTAGGGGCGGCCCAAGAGCCAAATCTAAGTAGTGTCTGGCCCACAGGCCTCAAGTTCGATCCCTTGTCTAGGAGGTGAAGGGATGTAGCTTTCCAGAGGTTGTCCCTCTTAAATCGAAGCTTCTGGCTGTTGGCCTGTTTCAGTCCCATAAGATGCCTCATCACTCTGTTCTTTCTTTTGCTGTGGACCTTGGGAATTCTGGGTTAGTCAAAAAACATTAACAATGCCTTGTGGAGAATTTATCTCCAGGGATACAGATGCAAGCTGTCTATGGAATAAAAGCTGGTAGGCTAGAGAGAACCATCTCTTTTCTCAATCTCCAAAAAAGGGGGTATTTAAAGGGCATATTTCCTGCCAGGTTAAGAAATGTGTTTATTGTGGATTTAATGCACTCAAGTAAACTGGTGTCGCGAATGGCTCTAAAGGCAAAATGTGATTTAGTTGGGGTATTAGGTAAATACTGCCATTTAAAAAAAATAGTGGACATCTAGCAAAAAACCCAATCACTGTGGCTCACTGTGGAAGGACATTGCACGAGGTGCCTTGTTCTCTACCTGGGTATGGGTAGTTTTTGACTTACAACCACAATTGAGCCCAAAATTTCTGTTGTTAAGCGAGGCATTTGTTAAGTGGATTTTGCCCCATTTTACAACCCTCCTTGCCACAGTTGTTAAGTGAATCTAGTTTTCCCATTGACTTTGCTTGTCAGAAGGTCTCAAAAAGAGGAATCACATGACATAAGGGGACTCTGCAACGGTAACAAATATGAATCGTAACAAATATGGATCGGTTGCCAAGCATCTGGATTTTGGTCACATGATCCAAGGGGATGCCGCAATGGTCATAAGTGTGAAAAAGAGTCAGTCTCTTTTCAATGCTGTTGTAACTTCCTGGTCACTAAATGAAGTATTTGTAAGTCTAAGACTACCTGTATATGAATTCAGTCATACAATCTTTCTAAGCATATCATGGTACATGTTAAGTCATTTGGGTTTGTTAAAAACCTTAGCTGGGTTTGCACAACACTGAGCCAAACCATATGTTAAAATCAACAACTAGCTATGAATTAAACTGATAAGCTTGTAATACGCCTTCCCAAGGATCTGGAAGCATATCCCCCAGATGGATGGGTGGTTAGCCAATTTAGTTTTATTGCTGTGAATGGATTAATTGACTGAAAAATTGTGTGTGAGCGTTGGGGAATATTCAAAGGTTTTGAGATTTACTTTAATAAGCGGTGAAACCTGTTTGAGCCAAGGCTGTGGAAAAAGGACAGAAAGAGCGAGTCACGGACTGTTCAGCGGACCTCATACAATCTTAAAACCTTGCTTAGAAATGCCGACAGAGTTTCTGAAGGGAGAAGATGACAATTGATGGGCAAACTGCCCTAAGAGACCATCCCTTCCCTGCAGTATGTCATCTCTTAGGATTGTTCTAAGGCTGGTATTCCCCAGCCTGATGTCCACGAAGACCTTGTCCATCATAACCAGAAAAAGAGTATAGGTGTTAGCCTTTATTTTAGTATCTCTTTTAGTATGCCACTGGGTTTCATGTATGCTCTATAGATACCCTTATAGGTGTCTGTAGTTTAGCTTCTAAGACTCATGACCCCAAGAAAGGGGATGGGGCAAGGCTAAGCTTAAAATGGATGAAGATGTGATCGAAACACTAGAGAGATGCCACCAGTTTATATTGTTCTTATTAGGGCTCTGGCATCCACCCCCATTCAAATCATGGGTCTCTAGCCACATCTCTCAAGAGTTAATTTTTTTTTAATATTAGGAATGAACATGCCGCTACTACCTGGGTGCAGCTGAGTCTGAGACACATCGTTCATTTCACCCTTGACCCTGGTCTTCCCCCACCCCTGGATGTATATTCTCCAATGGGACACATCCATAGCCAAGAGTTATCATCAATCATGCTCTCCAGGAGTAATCTTGCGTGCCAGAAGACTAGCGATTATTATCTATGAAAGCATTTAAGGAATGCGCTACTTCCCCCACTCCCTTTCTGCTGGGAAATATTTTTGAGTTGACACTTTTGTTGTGCTGTGGTGGTGCAGTGGTTAGAGTGCAACCCTGCAGGGTGCTTCTGCTGACTGCCACCTGCCTGCAATTGGGCAGTTCGAATCTCACCAGGCTCAAGGTTGACTCAGCCTTCCATCCTTCCCAGGTTGGTAAAATGAGGACCCCCAGATTATTGGGGGCAATATGCTGACCCTGTAAACCGCTTAGAGAGGGCTGTAAAGCACTGTCAAGCAGTATATAAGTCTTAAGTGCTACTGCTTTATATTGGATCACCATATGAACGTCAGTCATTTTGAGAATAGGCAGATTCCCCAAAATTTTCTTTTCTAGCATCAGCCAAAGACATGGGGGGCGGGGGGTGGGCTCTTCCAATGCAGGGTTTAGCAATCTGATTTCTGGGTACCTGGAACAAAATCAGCTTGAATCCTCCTGAAGCCTGTTGTAAGCTGAGATGGAAACTATTGAGAAATTCTGCCCAGAATTACTTCCTTAAGATGGAAGGCATTTTTTTTTCCAATCAAAACAAAGCAAAACAAATGTGAAAAACAATTTGTAAGCTAATTTAGGGAAGTCTTTGTGCTAATTGCAAAATATCCTGCGGAAAGGGACAATTTTCAAGACATTCTTAAGGATGAAGTAGTTGGGGAAGCCATTCCTTAGCTCGTATACTAAATAGGAGATAGTGATAAGAAGACCATTTCAAAGTGAAGGTTTGGTCTTGCTTAGGAATTCTAGCACAGGCCATCAGATCTTCTAGTAGGTGGAAGAAGTCCTCCCATGAATAAGCAAGGAACAGTTGTTCTCTAAGGATGGGATGTGGCGGGAGATGTAGTCCACGCCTGTAAGAGCAAGGCCATCAGACCCGATTACAACTGCAGCTAAGAGCTCCTTTATGAAGCCTGGCCTTGAGGAGAACAAAGCAGAGATTGTATGGCTGTTGCAGCTGCTTAGTCAGCTCCTCTGTCCTTTAAGGGGGAAGTTTTGTTGCTGCTTTTTAAAAAAGGGTGACTGTGATTAATGCGAAGATCACCGGTGTCTTAGGATGGTTGGGCCTTTTAAAATAGGCATAAATCCTTCTCGCTTGCATTCATGTTGTTTTCCCCCCATCCAAGCCTGAAGTCTACTAAGAGCCCTGAAGTCTACTTACAACGCCCAGATTCCAGCTTGGAACTGTAAAGGGATAGCAATGGATTCTAACCACACCTTGAATTCACCCTTTTTGCCATTGAGGACGGAGAGCTTTGGGCTCAAAGATGCTGCGGCCAATTAGGTCTATGCAAAAATACAATTTGGTTCAGTGTCAGTGCCAGAGATTCTTGTGTTTTCTCCCATCCTATCCTCTAAGAAGATCTCTCTTGGGGGTTCTTTTCCTCATTTTGTTGGGTCTGCTCTCCAGATGGTTTATCCTCCTCAGAATTCTCTACCAATAGGACTGTGCTGAGATCCCATCACAGCTGGGGAAGGGTGGTGGTTTCTAGTTAGGGTAGAGATTTTGTGGACTTTGTTCCTTCCTTCATTTTGGAAATACCGAGCATTTAAAGGGGTCTTCTGAGTGGAAAACACGTATGGCATCTCTTCACAGCTTCCTTGTTCTGTGTTAAGGTATTGAGATTTAATAGCTGACCAGCTGTTGTAAGGGTGCTGCAAACGCTGATGCAATGAGAATGAGTCAGCAGGGTATTTGCCACTTTAAGAAGCTGTCTATATAAAGGCGGCCATGAAAGGGCGTCTCTCTCCTCATGTTCTGTCTCCATTGTAGTTCTCAGTGCAGAGTAATGAAGACTGATTGCTTGCCTGGTATGTGCCTAACATACGTATGTATATAGCAGTATGTATATAGCATATATGTATGTATATAAACCACTGTTAAAAGACAAAGCCTCTGTATGCTGTGTTGTGCTTCTGGGTTGTCTGACAACAGTAGTCACGCTGCAAACATTCTTACAGTGTCCAAAACGTTTTGGCCCTGTATAAAACTAAGCAGATTATAAATTGGCTAGTAGCACAAGACTTATAATAAAGTGTCGAGAGGTTCTCTAAGATATAAAATTTCTGATGAGAAACCCATCAGCCTCAGCCACTCTTGTTGTGGGAAGGCATATGGGGGGAGTTATAGTCTGCCACAGGAGAGTACCAAGTTGGGGAAAACTTGGGACTTTTTAAGGGCGTGTCTCTCAGTATTCGGCAAATAAGTTTCTTGACAGATTGTTCCAAGAATGTATGTCTCTTAGTCTAAGAATGGAAAATTGGCATATAACCTGGAAAGATCATACTTCCTATTGTAAATAATTTGGAATGTGCTGCTGGAATACACGGCTTTTTCCCCTCAACCTAACTCAAACCTTTCTCTTTTTGTCTATCCTTGAAAGTTCTGGGAAGTGATCAGTGATGAACATGGAATCGACCCAACTGGAACCTACCATGGTGACAGTGATCTACAACTGGATCGCATCAGTGTTTACTACAATGAGGCCACTGGTAAGCCTTCCTCTCCTCTTCCTCCTCCCTCACTCTTTTGGCCTGATTTGATCCAAATGTTTTCCAACAAATAAATATGAATCCTTGTTGAATTTCCTCATTGTCTTCTCTAGAATCATTCCTTCTGTGTATGTCCTTGTATAGTTATAGTCTGAGCTTGCTAAGAATCCCAACAGTCATTAGGTGAACTTAAAAGTAGACTTCTAATAGTTATTTCTTAATACTCAACTTATGACCAACCTCCAAAAGGTGACCCAGATCCAAAACTCCCCTTTCCTGTGGTGACGTGACCACTGCATTTGGCAACACAGCTGCATTTAAGACTTTGCAGCTGGTCATGTGGCTGCATTTTATGACAGTTTTGCTGAAAATTGGTACTTCTGATTTTTGGTAAAACCACGCCCCCCATAATGACCATGGGGTTTGCTTTACGATTGCCATATTCACTTAACAACAGCTGCAAAAAAAGTTTGTAAAATCGGGTGTGACATAGTTGTACAACCTGTGACCATAATGGGCAGTCTCCATTACGGTTGTAATTTGAGGACTACCTGTATTAAATTAAAAGGCTTGGCTCAGGATTAAATTTCATCTTACCCTACAAAGATAGCCTAATAAATTGGATTGAGATAATAAATTGGATTGAGAAAGGTGTACCCCAACAAGTATTGGAAAGATGACTACAATATTTTTAATACTATATTGAAGTGCCTCTTTTTTTCCTCTCCCTCTTTTTGTAACTCAATTCTGTGTTCCTTCCACCCATCCTTTATATATCGAGGGCCTCCAAACCTGGCAGCTTTAAGACTTCAACTCCCAGAATTCTTTAGCCAGCTATATTGTGTGGCTAGGGAATTTGGAGAGTTGATGTCCACAAACCTTAAAGTTGCCGAGTTTGGAGGCCTCTGCTATAATTAAGGAATGTCTGACGTCCTTTAATTCATTGACTGCCTTACCAATGCTCAGCCTCTCCTCTGAAATCTTAACAACTAGGCAAAACCAAGCTACTTGATAGCTAGAACTCAAATGTAATTTCATCAGAGGAAACTTAATTTGTTACGGCAATGGATTTCCCCTTACACGTGTTTTTGTTTGTTTGTCTAGGTGGTAAATATGTCCCTCGTGCCATCTTGGTTGATTTGGAGCCAGGAACCATGGACTCCGTGCGTTCTGGACCTTTTGGACAAATATTTCGACCAGATAATTTTGTATTTGGTAAGAAACTACCACTTTTTTTTTTTTTTTTTGCTACTTGTAGCTATATTTGATAGGGGAAAATATAGGGTCTAGATTAGGTTTGAGCAACCAGCATCTTTTGTCAAATTGGGAAATGTGTCTTGATAATTTACTTTGCTATTGAAGGAGGAAGAGAAGCAGACTTTGCAGAGCATTGACACGATGGGAGGGGCAGGCAAAGATAAGTGAGCTCAGGGCAAGCTGGGATAGCTACATCTTCTGGAATGTTTGGTTTTGCCTTCCAGGTTTTGGATCTCTGCTGTGTGAACTTCAACTCCCAGAATTTCTGACCTTTCTGGGAATTGAAATCCACCCAATTTTCAGGGGACGGTCGCACTTCATTGATACTTAAAACTGCTGATGCCCTCCGGCTGTACTAACTAGGCTGTCATTTTTATGACTTAGGTATCAATAGAATTGTCACCCAAAACATTTGGAGGACACTCCAGAGAGGATTGTGTTGAATGTAGAAGCCAGTTCAATCTAGTGGTTAAGGTGCTGGACTAGAAACCAAGATACTTCATGAGTTCTTGTCCTGCCTTAGGCATGAAAAACTGGGTGGGTGAGCTTGGACCAAATAACAGAGTGGGAAGGGAACTTGGAGGTCTTCTAGTCCAGCCCCCTGCTCAAGCATGAGAACCATCCTATACAATCTCAGACAAGTGACTTCTCAAAAACCTCCAGTGATGATTTCTGAAGGCAAGCTGTTTCACTGGTTAATTGTCCTCACTGTTAAGAAAGTTTCTCTCATGAGTGTGGAGGGTTTGAAGGATCCTCCTATGGTAGGTTTGAAGAATAGTGTTGTATGTTCAAGAAGATAATCTGTATAAATCTGATGGGGAAAGGCCTGGGAAGTAGAAGTAGCTAGAAGTCAAAGGGAAAAGTGGCTTCCTAACCCAATTTAATGATTTATTCCCCATCTACTTCTTCTGAACTTTTCAGGCCAGAGTGGAGCTGGTAACAACTGGGCCAAAGGTCATTATACAGAAGGTGCCGAGCTGGTGGATTCAGTCCTAGATGTTGTGAGGAAGGAAGCTGAGAGTTGTGACTGCCTGCAAGGATTCCAGCTGACCCACTCTCTAGGGGGTGGAACCGGTTCTGGAATGGGCACCTTACTGATCAGCAAGATCCGTGAAGAGTACCCTGACCGTATCATGAATACCTTCAGCGTGGTGCCCTCCCCCAAGGTCTCCGATACCGTGGTGGAGCCTTACAATGCTACCCTCTCTGTCCACCAGCTGGTGGAGAACACAGATGAGACCTACTGCATCGACAACGAAGCTCTCTACGACATCTGTTTCCGCACCCTCAAGCTGACCACTCCAACCTACGGGGATCTTAACCACCTGGTCTCGGCCACCATGAGTGGCGTAACGACCTGCCTCCGCTTTCCCGGACAGCTGAACGCCGATCTCCGCAAGCTTGCTGTAAACATGGTTCCTTTCCCTCGGCTCCACTTTTTCATGCCCGGCTTCGCTCCCTTGACCAGCCGTGGTAGCCAGCAATACCGGGCCCTCACGGTCCCTGAGTTAACGCAGCAAGTTTTTGACGCCAAGAACATGATGGCAGCCTGCGACCCCCGGCACGGACGCTACCTCACGGTGGCCGCCGTCTTCCGAGGCCGCATGTCCATGAAGGAGGTGGACGAACAGATGCTGAACGTGCAAAACAAGAACAGCAGCTACTTCGTCGAGTGGATCCCCAACAACGTCAAGACAGCCGTGTGCGACATCCCTCCCCGTGGCTTGAAAATGGCGGTCACCTTCATCGGCAACAGCACGGCCATCCAGGAGCTCTTCAAGCGCATCTCCGAGCAGTTCACAGCCATGTTCCGTCGCAAAGCTTTCCTGCACTGGTACACAGGTGAGGGCATGGACGAGATGGAGTTCACGGAAGCGGAGAGCAACATGAATGACCTCGTCTCTGAATATCAACAATACCAGGATGCCACAGCTGAGGAAGAGGAGGATTTTGGAGAAGAGGCGGAGGAAGAAGCTTGAGGTTAAACCTCGTGCCCTTTTGACACCTGTTCAATAAGTCCTCACAAAATAAAAATAAAAAAAAAATTTGCATCTCTACCCTGTGTTTCCTTCTCCTTCTTCTCAAAACTTACCCTGTCCGCTCTCTTTTCAGACTTTTCTTACACAGCAGCCTCTTAACGATGGTTTAAAGTTGGCTTGGCTTTTTTTTACATGTAGTACTTTTTTTAGTTATGGCAGGTACCTTGTAAAATCAGGTGAGGGGGAGGCTGTGTAAGACACTGGGAGATGATGCAGTTCCTTCCTTGCCTGTAATTCTTACTGTATTTATTATTCCCCAACCTACAATATCTCTGTTGTCAACCTAAATAAAACTGCAGCCTCAAGGGCCTCCAGCTACGACAAGGAAGTAGACAGTTTGGAGCAGACTTGCTTAGGGGAAAACAGATACCTTTAAAATGGAACCACTTCCTTGTTCTGCCAAATGCTCCTTTCACCTTCCTGCCTTAAAGGCATCCATATTCTGTATCTGCAATGGAAAAATCCTTGCGTGGGCTGGACTTGGCTCTTCCCCCCTCCCCCCCAATCAGTATTCATGTCCCATCTGTCTACCACACTTGACTTATCCCACTGGGGTTGACATGTTTCAAATCTGTGACTAAATCTAAGGATATTTATCACAGCTTCATGTTTTGCCAAACAAAAAACCAACAGTATTTTGTTCCCTAAAGCGGGCGTTTGTTCAAACTTTAGCTTTAATCTTAAATCCTAACCTTAGTTGAATTATTAATTGAACATTGCTAACCTCTCTTTTGATTACTATTCCATCCATGTTCCAAAGAAGTGTCCCATTTGTAAGTAATAACATTTGAGACTTGTCTTAACCATGAAGGCAGAGAAACTAAAGACCTTTCTAGGGACAGTGCTAGTTTTGGACCATAAAGGTACAGCATGTTTTAAGAATGAATTTCTATATAGGGCATAAGATGCACTAAAAACGAAGGTCGCTTCCACTTCATTCAAATTAGGTGCTTTTGAAAGATACGTTGCTTAATTGCTGCTCAAAGAAGCAATTCCATTAAATAGGAAGGAAGGTGCCGTGTAAGTGCTAAAAATTTAAATTTGTTTTAGGGAGAGGTGTAGAGATAGATGTGTTTGAGGGTAGGTCTGCTCCAAAAGAAATATGAATGAAGTTCAAATGTTCCAGGATGTACAATGCATGGTTTGTTTCAAGTTTGCTCAATATATGACTAGCCATCTTATTGCAGATGTAGACTGCCATTGTGTTGCTTAAGTGATAGCAAGTGTCAAATATAGAGAGGCCACTTAAGTTAGTGTGGCTAAATGGAAGAGCATAAAACACACTAACTTTGCCCCTAAAATACTAGATGGAGTATTTTTGGCTCGATGGGTCACCCCTAAAAGATTGCCTTCTATCAGTATTTCTCAAGGAGATGCGTGGACTCTGTCCTGCCTTTTCTTCTGCTTGTTGATCCAACTTTTTACTCACCTGTTCCACTCATTTGTCTTCTTTGCTTTTTCTTCTTTAAAAAAAATCCCTGTTTGTTCATATTTGAAAAGTCCTGTGAACAAATAAAAGTTGTTTTTTTTTAAACGTTTTCTTTTGTGTTGAGTGAATCTGATCATACACCTTGTGGGACGAGCAAGCCTCATTCTATCATTAAAAAAAACAAAAACAAATGGAATTTCCTAACTGGTAAGAGTCATCCACCTGTAGTGTCCGGTGAAAGTTGATTGAACTCTATAGGGAGAGGAATGGTTAGCCAGCTGGAGCAAAGGAAGAATGTGCAGATTCTGGAATTGGTCGCTTAAGATGACCTGGAAATCTGATCAGCAAAGATTGGAAACCAGCTACAGAGGTGTAAATTATTTACATGGGAAAATGCCGGCAAGGAGGCAATGCAGCTCTTTTTGCAGAAACCACCACCCTGCTGTTGGTTCTTTGTTGGCCACCACTGGGGATACAATATTGAAGCATTAAACCAGGGGTCTCCAACCTTCACCGCTTTAAGACTTACAGACCGGCTGCAGAATTCTGGGAGTTGAAGTCCACAAGTCTTAAAAAAGTGGCCAAGGTTGAAGACCCCTGGATTAAAACAATACACGGTAACTTATTTAATTCAGCAGCCTTGTTCCTTATTCCTTGCCTTGTTAAATCAACGTTGGCCAGTCAAGGTTGACCCATCGTTGAGTGGTGTGACTTTCTTGAAACAATTTATCAGAAATTTTTATCCCATCTTTATTACTTTATAAGTGGCTCAAAGCAGCAAACAGACCTAATACTCCTACTTTCCCCCAAAACGATGGTGGATTGGGTTGAGAGAGTAACTGGCCCAAAGTCACCCAATGGGCTTTCATACCTAAGGCAGGACTTGAACTCACAGTCTCCTGGTTTCTAAGCCAGCCCCTTTGATTACTACACCAAACTGGCGCTCTCTTCAACACAATTTTCTCTTGAGTGCCTTCCAAATGTCTCGGATTGCAATAGTCCATTTATATCCAAACCATGAATGAGAGCCTAGCTGCACATATGGAAAACATCCACTAAGGTGTCAATGAACTGTGACAAGATTGGCACCGTGTCCAATGGACTGACTTCTGGGTTTGCTCAGAGTTATAGGGGGAAAAAACATTCTATATTTCCTTCTGGGGTGCACTCCCCCCCCCCAATGTAAACAAAGGCTGCAAAAAGCATGTCTCCAAAACTGGGCTCTTGCTTGGTGTCAAAGCCGAGAGAAGTCACCGGACACAAGGTGTGATAAAAAAAGATACTTTTATTTTGGTACCAAGATATAAGGACCTTAGTTCAAAAGCTAACCAAAGGCCCCGATTACACTCTTACAGCAATTTTTATAGTCAAGGGGTGGTTCCATTTAGCCCTTCCCCTCATAATGCATTTATAACAAGATAATATTGATTGGTTATTTGGATCTCAGCCCCCTACATAGCTAAATGCTGCATCACCTGTGTTTCACCCCAGGTCACAGGTATCATGCAAAGTATCCTAGTTTCATATGCCAGCTATGTGGTTTGGGGTTTTTTTTTTCATATAAGCAAACTATTCTTGTCCCTAATATCCTGGCTAGTGGTTTAAGATGGTAACTTCTGCCTTGCTAAGATTGTGCAGTTCCAACCTCTTTCCTATAGCAGCGCAGTTCAAAGCAGCACCCCCACTCCCCGTGACCCCCACCCACCCACAGAGAAAAGTAAAAGCAGTTTTAAATCTTTGTCTGAGGCAGTACTTCCCCACCTCCACGCCCCCCACCCCACCTCCTGTAGAGAGGGACAGAAGGGAACGAGGCTGCTTAAGGCATAGAAACGAAGACGAGAGAAAACGTTTTATCAGAATTCATGTTCCTCACTCTCATGTCCATTCCACCCATACCTGGGTCCTATATCCACATTTGACCCCTTCCTCTGTTCCCCAGGGCCTCTTCTGTACATACATTCCATCACCTGATCCTTCAGCAGACGGAGGCCCTTCCATGTGGCAGATGGGAAAGAGGCTGCCAGAGAAGGGAGGGAGGTGAGGTTGGGTTCAGCCTTTCTATACATGGTAGCAGCAGCCAGGCTCCAGTGGGTCACGTTGTGTGGAGCTATCATACTTTGTGCGTGCTTCAACCAGAATTTATTTTCTAGCCACATGACTGGAGAGACCAGCTCTGTTGCTGGAACTAACGTGGAACTAAAAGGGAGGGTGATTAACCAGTGCAGGGGTGTCAAACTCAAGGCCTGTGGCCTGGATCTTGGCCTGCAGACTGCTTAGATCTGGCCTGTGGGACTGGCCTGGAAATAGCAAAGGACCGGCCTGTGGTGCCTCTGTTAACAAAACCAGGGCACAGAGCGGGCTGCACGCCCACCCTTTTGACTGTCAGGGTGCTGCGGTCCAGGCCAAAAATTTCTCAGGAGAAATTTCCTGACAGTGGGAACAAGTAAACAGCGGAACAGCTTGCCTTCAGAAGTCGTGGGTGTTCCTTTATTGGAGGTTTTCAAGAAGAGACTGAATAACTATTTGTCTGAAATAGTATAAGGTTTGTTTGAGCAGGGGGTTGGACTAGATGACCTACAAGGTCCCTTCCAACTCTTATTTTATTACATGTTTTTCAACCTTGACAACTTTAAGATGGGCGGACTTCGACTTAAATATGGATCTATTTAAGGCACATATCCTGGTCTATGGTTTTTTTTTTGTAACCCAAATGATTAATCAGTAGAGACTTCAAACGTGTAATTATCCAGATAAAGGTAAATGGCAAACATCTGTAAGCACAAAAGAAAGCATTGCCATTTAAATATTTCATTTTAAACTTGGGGAGATACGATTGCATAGTCTTGGGCCAAGTAGGCTTAAATATGATGGAAAATGCAAACAAAGCTTTATTTTGACCTAATCCGGTTAATGAATTGCAGAATCAACTCTGTTGACCGGTGGCTTTTCATGCTAAGAAAGCTTTACAGAACTTTGGAGCCTGTCTTTGGAGATTCTCAATCATCCAGGTCATGGTTGTCCCAAAGGTGCTTTTTCCAAAAGGCAACTGGACTTTCTTGATTTTTTTCTTCCCCCCCTTGAAAATATTTTGCTTCTCATCCAAGAACTTGGCTGAGGGAATTCTGGGAGTTGAAAAGTCCACATCTCTTAAACTTGCCAAGTTTAAAAAAAAAAACCCACTGAGTCAGATTATTTTTCCACTGGTCTAGAAAAAAAAAGGACATGTGGCATATTTAATTTGACATATAAATAAAGTTCATGGTGGCTTGAATACTACTGCTTTGCGTGGAAAGATAGATTCCGCTTTATAGAAAGGAGAAGGAGAGGGTTTTAGGATCAGGGGTGGGCTTCAAAAATTTTAGCCACGGGTTCTTTGCCTGGTTGCTGGGTGGGTATGGCCATGGTGGGCGTGGCCTAGTCGGCCTCCTGCACCACGGTGGGGGGGTTGTTTTTGTCCTCCCCGGGCTCCAGAGGCTTTCCTCAAGGCTCGGGGAGGGCAAAAATGGCCGCCCCGGACTTCAAAGGCCCTCCAGAAACTGGAAACAGGCCCATTTCCGGTCTTCCGGGTGGTCCGTTTTTCCCCCTCTGAGAGCCTCCAGGTACACCCTGCACTTAGCTGCATCCAAAATGGGCCGCGTGGGGACTCCTGGGAGAGGAGGAGTGGGGTGGCGAGGCCAGCCAAGAGTGGGATTTGGGGGTTCTCCAAACTGCACAGAATCTTAGCTAGAGGGGCTCCCGAACCCCTGCAAACTCCCAGCAGCTCACCCCTGGTTTGGTTAGTGCAGTAGCCCCCAATCTTTGGGGCACCAGGAACCAGTTGTGTGGAGATAAGTTTTTCCATGGACTGGAGGGGTGTGTGGTTTCGTGTGCTATGTCAACATTCTGAGTAATGCACCCATTGAAAGCAGAACTCCCTGGCAGGTAGATTCCTCAAAGAACATGTTTATTGGATATCATGGTTGTAAGATATGTTAGAGAACCTCATATATTGGGACTGTAATCACTGGGAGATGAAAAAATATTGTTTAGGGAAGGATCAGGGGTGGGATTCTACCAGTTCGCACCTATTCGCTACAACAGGTTGTTAACATTCTAAGCAGTTTGGAGAACCGGTTGTTAGAAGAAATTACTGGCCTAATCCTGTAAGGAAGGCAGGAAGGAAACATTCTGGTGTTGCTTACAGGAACTGCCTCTCTGTTAACCCTTATTACATTTTTGTCAGGATTAGACTTCCTGTCTTAGGAACTTCTCTGGAGTTTTTTTCCCCTCCTTTGCTGGTACTTTGCTTGTGTGGAGTGACCATTCAAAGTTACAATGGCACTGAAAAATGTGACATGACCATTTTTCACACTTACGACTGTTGCAACATCCCCACAGTCATGATATGCCAGGCGAGGAGATGCGTGCCTCAATGAGTTGGCCACACCCAGCCAACAACATGACCACCAAGCCATGTCCACCCAGTCACATGACCACCAAGCCACACCCACCAACTAAGCCACGCCCACAGAACCAGTTGTTAAAAAATTTGAATCCCACCCCCTGGGAAGGAGGTTCAACTGGAGTCATCTGGTAGCCTCAGAGCTCCAGGCCTTCCATATATTAAAGGCAATATTCTCGAATTTGATTGTTAGTTTGTATCCTGCCTTTATTGTTTTACTAATAACTTGGCAAATATTTATTTAATTTGTGTTTCACACTTCTGAACTGCCCTTCTCCTTCCTATCCAGCACACTTCCTTCCTCCTATTTTCCTTAGAACTGTGATAGCAAACCTATAGCAGGCATGCCAGAAATGCAGTGGTAGGATTAATTTTTTATTTTACTATTGGTTCTGTGGGTGTGGTTTGGTGGACGTGGCAGGGGAAGGATACTGTAAAATCTCCAGTCAGAGGTGGGATTTGCTGCTTCTCTGAACTACTCAAAATTTCCGCTACCGGTTCTGAACCTGTGAAAACCACCTCTGTGGAAGTGGCACACGGAGTCATTTCTGCCGGCATGTGAGTCGACGCCCCAAATCAGGTGCACTGTACCTGCGTGCTCCCGTCCTGTCAGCTAGCTGGTTGTCGGGTATCTGCCATGCATGCACGGGGTGTGTGG